ATAACATTGTCTAGTCTACTGCTGACCACAAGACATAAGAGTTATAAGTCAGCTGGAGGCCATCTTGGCCATAAGTCCAGAAAGAGCCTTTTTCTAATTTGAGTAATTGCCCTAGTCAAAATGACAAAATTTCCAAATGGAAAAACAAGAATGTAAGATGATGTTTCTCTCCACCACATATTCCCCTCTCCCCACCAATTCTCAGACTCAGATGTAAGGACATGAAAATTCAAGTTCCATTCTTGTTATCTGACCCAAGTTCAAAACAGGGTGAGAGTGTCTTTCTGTTCACAAAGAGAGACACACATTCAAAGCCTGTGAAGCATTTTCTGACCTTCACACCAGGACGGAGATCTCTGTCTCCAACCCAAGGGATCAGATCCCAGGGCCTTGGGTGCTCACCATCTTCTGGAGTTCATCAGCGGATTCCTGGACCCGTTCTCGGTCATTACTGTCCACCACGAAGATGAGGCCCTGGGTGGGAAGGCAGAAGGGAAGGAGAAGCAATCACTGCTGCCTAGGACATACCCTACTCTGGCTCCTTCTCTTTGTGTCTAAACCCTTCACATCTAGTAAACTTCCACTAAGGCTCTGCGGAAGTCCTGGCACAAACTGGAGACACCCTGCAAAGGATACGGCTTCTGCCTTCAGGCAAGTAATCTAGTTAAAAGACAAGCCTGAAAACAGGGAAAGACATGTAATGAGAGCTAAATCAGGCAGCCTGGACTCTGGATCCAGAACCTTGCTTCTCAGAACACACCTAAGGTGGCTGAGTCTCAGAACACTAAGGCCACTTCTGAAGGATGAGTAGATGCTAGCTCACAAAAGGGAGGTTGAAGGGGATAAGGCTTTTTCCTAGCCTGGGGGCACAGCCTAGGCCAACATCTCAGTAACCCTAGCACCACCTCCCCTGGGGTTGGGGAAACACCTCCCCCCTACCTGAGTGTTCTGGAAGTAGTGCCTCCACAGAGGCCGAATCTTGTCCTGGCCTCCCACGTCCCAGACTGTGAAACAGATGTTCTTGTATTCCACTGTTTCCACATTGAAGCCTGCAGATAATTGGGAAAAATAAGAGAAAATAGTCCTGAAACGAAGGACCTCACTAAAATTACATGGATTCATCAGGGACACAAAACCAGAGGGCAGTGTTCAAAGCCCAAGGGAACAGAAGCCCAGAGGGCCGGCAGTTCAGACGGGGCGGGGCTAGGTCACATCCAGTCCTCTTCGGCCCTCCTGGACACCACCCAGAGCGTAAAGATACTGTGACCCACTTCTCAGGTAGCTGTATCTGGTGTCAGCTCCCACTACTGGATGGAGAATGGGGAGTAGACCCGGAGGAGGTCAGCCGCCGCACTCCCACTCCTCCCGATCTTGTCTCCAGACTCACCTATGGTGGGAATGGTGGTGACAATCTCCCCCAACTTCAGCTTGTACAGGATTGTGGTCTTGCCAGCTGCATCCAAGCCAACTGTAAAGGAGAGGGGCATAGAGATGGGAGTGAGGGAGCCCCCTAGAGACCAGGGAAGGGGAGAGCCCAGGACAGCTGACGGTGACGGGGGCGGTGAGCCCGAGCACCTCCAGGTGCGCGCTGTTGTCTACCTTCCGGGCCTTGAGGGTAGTCTGGGTTGTGAGCGCCAACTCTAGACCCCAAAGCTGGAGGGGCGGGAGAAGGCTGGGGGGTGTCAGGCCACAGGAGGAGGGCCGCGCTCCTTTTAAAAGTCGTTTCCAAGGGCGGAATCCTCCCTTCTTACCAGCCGGACTAGGGCGGAGGGAGCGTCACCCCACCCAGGCCCGCAGCTCCCGGTCTCAGGCCCCGGAGACAGCGCTGCAGACAGCGACCTTCCCGAGAGCTGTAGCCCTGGGGGTTAGGAGGTGGGTGACTCAGGGTCGGAGATCGGGTGAGCTGGGCTGGAGGGACGCAGGGGCGGGAGGGCTGTGCGGGGGCCGGCGCTCCCGTCCGGGCCGCGCGCTCGATCTGCCTCACCCATGAGGATCCGCATCTGCTTCTTCCCGAAGATCCGCGAAAAGAGCGCGGACACAGTGAGGCCCATGGCGGGGGCCCGGGGGAGGGGGCACTGGCACGGACAAGGGGTGCAGGCTGGAACCGGCCGGCCGCGGGGGGATGGGGCTCGCCAGCAGGAGGAGGAGGTGCCGCCACCGCCTCCGCGCGTCCCGGCCCGCCCTACGTCACTGCGGACCCACCCCCTTAGGGCCCCGCCCCCAGCTCCGCCTCCCGCCCGGCTCCGCGGCTTCGACTCCTCCAAAAACTGAAGCTGAGCAAGTCTCTGCCACTTGGCTGGGTCGCACGCCGGTTTTTTACAGAGGAAGGGGTCAGGATCTCCCCACGTTTCTAGGGCTCCTGTCTCGTCTGTGCTGCTGCTGAACCGGCAGCCCGAGCGGGGCCAAGGAAAGCTTTTCACGTTCCACAGCGGTCCCCACCCGCATCATCAGTGGTCGGCCGCAGGGCTTTTGTTTGTGGCGTCCAGCCTACTCTGGGTGCTGATTTAAACTCTGGATAACTAGCAGTATCGACTGTGTGCACCATCCTCTCAGTGATGCAGAAGGTCCATGCAGGTGTCTTTGTCTTCCTTTTTGCCCTCTCAGCTCCCAGTGATGGGCTTTGAGCATAGCAGGTGGTTCAGGGACAGTAGAATCTCAAGAGGAGTACACGGGAGGTGGGAGAAGAAGATGCTCGAGTGCTAGCTGGCTTTCCCGGTTCCCTAAAAGGCTTGCTTCATAGATCCTGAAACAGCAGAACCAGTGGAAGATTCCCAGTTCTGGGCGGCGCGGTCATAGACCCTACCGCATACTAAAGAACTCGGTCTTTGCCTCGATGAGCCTAGAAGCAAAATGCCTTTCCGTCTGGACCCAGACAGCCTATCTGAAGCTCCTCCCTCACTTTTCCACGGACCTAAAAGCCTGGATTATTAATGCACACCTATCCAGGGTGTTGTGAGGATCTTGCCTCCTTAGACCCAAATAGCTTTACCAGTATAATTTCCCCACTCAGCATCTGAACAGAAGTAGAAAGATAGCAGAAACCGTGTCAGTGTTGGACTTTTGCTTAACAGATGCTTGTTGGGTTGAATTTAACTGATAGGTTGTGCACTGGAGCAAGGGCAGACAGATTGCTTATTCTGGATCCCAGTAACCTAAAAGCAATTGTTTATGGACTAGATGTGGTGAGGTGAGCTGGGAATCAGAGAACCTGGTTCACTTATTCAACAAATATTGAATCCCCATATGTGCCACTGTTCTGGGTCTCACTTCATATGTCAGTTCTGCCTCATTGTGGTTTTGTTTTGTTTTGTTTTGTTTTGAGGGCTTGCATTCAACAATCCTCACAACCTGTCATTTTTAACCACAGATGGAGACTAATATTTGCCCAATCTCATGAAGTTATGGTGAAGATTAAACTTATGAGATAGCATACCTGAACATTTTATATAATGCATTTGGATGGTACCTGGGCCTCTCTAAGAAGCTGGGTCTGAACAGACCTCCAGAACCTGCCCCACCCTGACCTGCAAAGCCTGTGGAGAGAACAGACTTTGGGCATTAGATAGAAGGGCATGACTTTACCCTTCAGTGATAGACTTGTATTCCTTACAAAAGACTTGTAAGAAGGCTTTTACAAGGCCAAAGAGTACATTTAAAAGAGTTCCAGTATAATAATACAACTAGTGGTGAACAAGTCAGGTTTTAGTTGTACATCTTTAGCTCTTTTATTAACCTCTTTCTTTTCATCCCTGCCATCACTGCCCTATCTCACTACCATCTCCTCCCATGAATGAATTACCAGGAGCCTTCTCACAGGTCTCCCTGTGAGACCACCTAGTCATACAACTCTTAGTATCACCACCTAGTCATACAACTCTTGATAATGCCACTTTTGTGATTAAAATCTAGTGTTTTCTTATCACCCAGGACAAAATGTAAATGCTTTAATTTGGGTCCCCACCTACTATGCCAGCCCCATCTGTTGCTACCTCCTTCACACATACCCTAAACTGCCACCTTGAGATGACTCAATGCTTTCCAGGTAAACCAGGCTCCCTGATGCCCTAGGAGCCCTTGCAGTCTTTTTCCTTTGCCTGGAATGCTTGTTTCTCTCCCCTCTAGTTAGATGGGCAATCACTCCTCATCCTTCAAATCCCAAAAGATTTTTCCTGAGAGCCTTCTCTGCCTCCCCTGGATAGGTCTCACTCCTAACTTCCATTTCACTTTAAATATACTTATGTATACTGGTATGATGGCTGGACTTGCATTTGCATGCCCAGTTCCTCACTGGATGTGAGTTTCTTGAGGACAGGACCTTGTCTCTTCATGGTGGTCATCTGGCACAGCATTTGGTCTGTTGAGAGTGGTATTGATCAGCATAGCGTTCCTAAACATACGGAGTGACCTTGGGCATATTACTTAACCTCTCTGCACCTTGTTTCCACACTCACTGAGCAGAATTATTGTAAAGACTACATAGTAAAACTCTTGTGAAGCTCCTGGAATATAGTTCACACTTGGAGCAGACATATTGGCTATAGGGTGCCCTCTACAAACATTTGTTGAATTAACTCAGCAGACTCAGAAAGGGTGCTAATTATACTATAATACACCTACTAGGTGCCAAACGTTGTCCTATAAAGGGGTGCCGTTTTCGTGGTCTAAATGAGACTCTTAATTGTTGCTCTTTAGGGACAAAGGTACTGATAATGGGCACCTGTCAATCTCGAATACTTAGTAAGGACTCAGTGCCACGTCACCCTGTCCTTTGCTGATCGCAGCCTGATGGCAAGCTGAGGCGACACGAAACCACCACTCGTGTGTCCTCAACTTGTGCTCGTTCCGCTAAGGTCGACTTGCAGCCACGTAGATTCTCAACAGGTGACCTCCCACGGGCGGGCTGAAGTAGTCAGGTCCACTGCGTGCCCACTGAGGGCGGAGCCTGTGGCGTCGTGCTGTCGTCACTTCCAGCGGACCCGGAAGCGTTTTTGACTGGCCGCGGTAGTTAGGAAGTCGTAGTGGGGCTGGGATTAGTTTAAACCCTCGGGACCGTGGGCACTGGGCCGCCGGGGCTGCTGTGGCCCGGGCGAGCGGAGAACGCGGGCTTCTGGGACAGCGCGGGGAAGACCCGAAGTGTACTCTTTTGTGCTGGCGTCGCCCCGCCTCTGGGTAGGGCCCGCCCCCGCCCCCGGCACCTGGAACTCCGGGGCGCTCCGCTGGGCGGCCCTGCCGTCCCACGTCGGTATCGGAAGCCTGGGAGGAGCGGGGTTGCGGGCTCGGAGACAACAACGTCCGCCAGGGTCTTCCCGACCCTCTACCAGGCTGCCCGAACGCTGACGTGTAACAACCAGTTGTGAATCCTCATGGAGAAGTTTGGGATGAGTTTCGGGGGCGGACCCAGCAAAAAGGACCTGCTGGAGACCATTGAGACCCAGAAGAAGCAGCTCAACCAGTACCAGGCACGTCTCAAGGATGTGGTCCGCGCCTATAAAAGCCTACTGAAAGAGAAAGAGGCTCTAGAGGCCAGCATCAAGGTGCTGTCGGTATCCCATGAGGCAGATGTGGGCCTCGCAGGTGTCCAGCCTCCAGGCCTCACCTGTCCTGACGCCGTGGATGATCGATACTCCACTCACAGCGAGGATAGCACTGGGACCGCCACCAGCTTGGATACCACAGCCAGTCTTACTAGCACCAAGAGTGAGGCTGGGGCAGAAGATGACCGACTGGCCCGTGGACCACCACCTCTCAAGTCCGAAGAGGCCAGTGGTTCGGAAAGTGGTGTTAGCAGTAGCAGTGGGGATGGACCATCTGCAGGTGGGGAGGTGGACAAAAGACTGCACCAGCTGAAGACCCAGTTGGCTACTTTGACTAGCTCTTTGGCTACAGTTACCCAGGAGAAGTCCCGCATGGAAGCTTCTTACCTGGCTGACAAGAAGAAGATGAAACAGGACTTAGAAGATGCCAGTAAAAAGGCAGAGGATGAGAGGGGCCGTCTAGAGGGGGAATTGAAGGAGCTGCAGGAGCAGGTAGCAGAAACCAAAGCTCGACTTATAACCCAACAGCATGATCGGGCCCAAGAGCAGAGTGACCATGCCTTGATGCTGCGTGAGCTCCAGAAACTGCTGCAGGAGGAGAGAACCCAGCGCCAAAACTTGGAGCTTCAGTTAGAAGAGACTCGAGAAGCCCTGGCCGGGCAGACATATGCTGCTGGTCAGATGGAAGGGTTTGAACTACAGACTAAACAGCTGACCCAGGAGGTGGAGGAGCTCAAAGGTGAGCTGCAGGCTCTTCGAGGTGAGAAGAATCGGCCAGACCCCCGGCTGCAGGAGCTCCAGGAAGAGGCTGCCTGCCTTAAGAGCCATTTCCAGGCTCAGTTGCAGCAGGAAATGAGGAAGGTAATTATCTTCATCTCCTTCAAATAGTCATTTAGCCTGAAGTGGAAAATATTAAGGTTTTTTTTTTTCTCCTTTGATAGTTAGATCTAAGTGGCTGCTCTGTCAGTTTTTTTTTTTTTAATACTTACCTGAGGATGTTTATTGATTTGGGTGGAGGCAGCGGGGAGAGAGAAAGAGAGAAATGTTGATCAGGTGCCTCCCATACAAACCCCTCCCTACTGGAGTTCTAACCTGCAACCTAAGTATGTGCCCTGACCTGGGCTTGAACCTGCAACCTTTTGGTGAACACTTCAGCCAACTGAGCTACCCAGACAGGGCTGCCCTGTCAATTTTTGATGCTTTTAAAAAAATTTTATTTGTGAGTGCTGGGAATTCCTGTTTTGTGTGGTGTTGACAGTAGCTACAGAGTGTGCTTCCAAAAGGATGGGGAGTTTCTGAGTGCAGGCCAGGTTGGAGCCAGACAGCTCTGAGCCTCTGGGCATTGGCATCTTGTCAGCTGTGCTCTGTGAAGCAGTATTGTAGCAGCTGTGCAGAGAGGTAGTGTGTTTGCTTATGGGTATATGCCTATATGTAGAGGGCAATGGGAATTTTCTCTGAAGAAGCAACCTTTTGTAATTGCTTTCAGTCAAGATTTGCCTCTTCTATAAAGACATGCTATTGTACAGTGCTTTTGTTCCATGTGGAGAGAGTTCCAATTCAGTTTTGAACTTTCCAAGAATATTGGAAGAGGAAAAGAATGTCATCCGATTTCTTGAAACGATTTGGGGAAGTACATGATAAACAAGGATAACAATTTAATATGTAAGTTCAGTGTATGATAGGAGAAAGTGGAAGCACTAAAGCAGAATAAAAGCAGATATACAAATGTTCTTAATATTGATTGGTATAACGTGTGACTGGGAGCAGACCCCAAGCAGGATATAGGGACTTTTATTAGCTCCCATATCAACAGAAAAATCCCCAATTCTCATTTCTGCCCAAGTCAGTCCCATCCTTTTGCTTCCCTCTCTTGCTTTCTCAAAGTTTCCCATAGGGCTTTGTGGCTTTTCTGGATGCATTTCTCATTGTTCCCTTGTTTTACAGACAGCCCTTGTAGAGGATCAACTCCGCCAGCAATCTCAGCTGGAAGAGCAGAGGGTGGCAGCCCTGGAGAATCAAATCTCCGAGGTGTCGGAACTGCTGGGCACCTACGAGAAAGCCAAGCAGAAGGATCAGCTGGCCATCCAGAAGCTGAAGGAGCGCATTTTGCAGCTGGACCTGGAGAATAAGACGCTAGCCCTTGCAGTCTCCAGTCGGTCCCCTCTAGATAGCCACGCAGAAGAGTCCAATCTGGATGTCAATGTCCTGAAGGATAAGATGGAAAAGCTGAAGAGGCTACTGCAAGTGGCAGCCAGGAAAAGCCAGGTGACCTTGGATGTAGAGAAGCTTTGCGACCTGGAGATTATGCCCAGCTCTGAGGCTGCCGATGGGGAGAAGGCAACTGCGCTTTACTACCAACAGGAGTTGAAACAGCTGAAGGAAGAGTTTGAGAGGTACAAGATGAGGGCCCAGGTTGTCCTCAAGAGCAAGAACACCAAAGACGGTAACCTGGCCAAGGAGCTGGAGGAAGCCCAGGAACAGCTTGCAGAGCTGAAGGAGAAGTATATCTCCCTGCGGCTGTCCTGTGACGAGCTCGAGCGCCAGCACCAGCAGGAGGCTGAGGACTGGAAGCAGGAGCTGGCCCGGCTGCAGCATCACCACCGGCAGGAGCTGGAGCGGAGCCAGCTGGACTTCAGGGACCGCACACTGAAACTGGAGGAGGAGTTGCACAAGCAGCGGGACCGTGCCCTGGCCGTGCTGGCCGAGAAGGACTTGGAGCTAGAGCAACTGCGGTCTTTGGCCTTGTCTTCTGTGCTGCCTGGACGCAGAAGCCCTGTCGGTGGTGGGGGTCCTGGGGACCCAGTTGACACAGCTTCCCCAGATAATCTGACCCAAGCACTTGAACTTGCTGCGGCCAATGAGCCCACTTTCTTCCTGTATGCTGAGCAGTTGGCCCGCAAGGAGGTGGAAATCACATTGCTGAGGAAGCAGAAACACAGGCTGGAGGTGGAGGTGCATCAGCTGCAGGAGCGGCTGCTGGAGGAGGAGGAGCGGCATCGAGAGGAGGTTGGAGTCCTGCAGAGCCACATTGAGAAGAACATCAGGGACCAGAGTAGGGAGGGAGCCAACCTGGAGTACCTCAAAAATATCATCTACCGCTTTCTGACCTTGCCTGACAGCCTGGGCCGCCAGCAGACACTCACAGCCATCCTGACTATCTTGCATTTCAGTCCAGAGGAGAAACAAGTAATAATGCAGCTCCCACCCGGTGGTAGCTGGTGGCTTTCTGGCAAGAGATGATGCCATTTTCACTAATTCCTGAAATATCCGTGCCTCTTATGTGGGAAGGGACAGGCTTTGGTTTCTACTGCCTCTTCTCTTACCTTATCATTGTTTTCCCTTATTTTATTGAACTGGGAGGAGTCTTCAAAGTGGAGTGGAATTTTCTGCCAAATACCATTAATTCCACTTAATCTTTGTGCCCTAGAGATGCCGGAAGTGTTGGGACAACATTTTATGGTAGGGTATGTGTGTGAGGAGGAATAGGGGGAGAGGTAAGGATTGAGAAGTGCAAACGCTGGGGAAGTGGTGAGAATATTTGGAAATAAGACTTTGTTGGTTTTAATATTATGCTTCTAGTGGAGAACTAGGAGTAAGTGTGACTCCAACAGGAGCTCAGGTAATTTCTAATTATGCACAAGGACCAGCAGTTTTCTTCACCGTCACAACCTGAGTCTGGTCCACTGCTGCCCCAATTATCTGGGGACACAAATCCAGGCTGGAGAGGGACCAGGAACTTTGAAATAGTGACAGGATTGTCCACCAGTCCAAAGGGCCAAGAAACAGTGAGTTCATCCTAGAACTGGGAAGCTTGGTCTAGTTAGGGCTGGATTCAACCTAATCAATCTGGACAAAACACACCACTTTTGACCAGTTTGATTTTGGGGATTTCCTGATGACCTGCTTTGAGCCTGGGTAGGGTTATGATAGACCTTGCACACTTGTCCCTGCCTTAACCAGCCTGCCTAAGGTTGGCCTGAGATTGTGAGTGAGTGACTGCTTTCTGTTCTTCAGTGTTGAACTTCCACTAAGAAAATAAAAAATCCTAGCTTCTTACAGAGAGAAGTTCTATTGGTAAGCTCTGATCCTGCCTGGAGGCAAGGAACTAGCTCAGAGATTTATAGGGAAAAGGAGGAAGATTTGCCATAGAAGATTCCAGAAGATTGCTGGGACCCTCACAGGAAAGTGGTGGAAGTTCAACCGAGGCTGAGCTGGGGTACTTGCTGCTCTGTGGATGGCATTCTGGCTACGTCCTCACATCTCTACAAGCCAAGTGTTCATGGGTTACTGTCACCAGGGTAATTTGCCCACTCCTTAGGGAGGTAATATAGTTTTAGTCCACAGCCCTCATCTGCCCACTGGTGTTACTATAACTTTTCCTCCTTCTGTAGGGTTTCTTACATTTGGTGTTACATAAGTAGATTCATTCTGCCTATAACGGAGGGACTCAGAAAAGTCGGGTTCAGACAGTATCAGTCTCTCTGTTCCTTGCCCCCATCTGCGCTTTCTGGTTTTAGAAATCTTTGGACCCTAAAGACCAGTGCTTTGCCACTCACTGCACTAGTCTGTCTTTCTGTTATTTCAACATAGAGCGCTGTTTTATGAGGGTTTGGGGTACAGAAGGCTCTGACTAAATGTTCCGATTGGGAAGCAGGGTGGCCCGGGCTATCTACAAACTGCAAACAGTGCATGGACTTAATGGAACAGAAGTGATGATGTGTTCAAATGTTAATAACATAAACCATGGATTTATTAAACCCGAACAACTTGACCTGTGTTTTTTTTTTAAAAAATATGTATATATATGTTTAGATTTTACTTATTTTTAAAGAGAGGGGAAGGGAGGGAGAAAGGGAAAGAAACATTAACTGGGGATCTGGCCCACCACCCAGGCATGTGTCCTGACTGGGAATTGAACTGGCAACCCTTGGTTCACAGGCTGGCGCCCAATCGACTGAGCCACACCAGTCAGGGCTCTTTGCTGACTTTTTAATTGGGTTGTTTGTCTTCCTGGAGTGGAATCGAGTGAGTTCTTTATATATTTTGGAGGTTAAACCCTTGTCCAAGTCTTCGGTTCACACACTGGCACTCAATCCACTGAGTTACACTAACCAGGGTGACCTGTGTGCTTTCTTAATGGTACATATTTATCTGGACACAAATAGTGAGAATGTAAATGATAAATCCACGAGCCTGAATCTAGGGATGAATACCTCAGTGCTTTAACTGCCTCAATTACAACACCGTGTTTTTTCAGTCCGAATTCTGTGTGTATGTGTTTGTGTGCAGGCAGCTACATTGGAGAAAGCTGTCTCTTGTTTAGTGAGTGGGCTTGAAACTTCATAGTTACTGCTTTAAAACTTCAGAAGTAATCTCTTTAGGAATGCTGTCTTATGCTTCAAATCAGGATACATAATGTCCCGGAAAAGTTTCTCAGGATATCAAGCTAAACTTAATCGTCATCATTTAGTTTTCTTACTGATTCCCTTCAGTGCAGGATGAACCATTGTTATTTCTAGGTGGTTTTGATCAGGATAGAAAGATCCATAATCACAGTTGCTCTCCTGGGACTAAGGATTCCTGTGCTTTTGACTTTTGAGAAGATACCAAATGGCAATGAAGCAAGTCACTTTCTGATTAATAATTTTAAGTATCCATATATATAAGGCTGTGAATGCTCCCAACTTAGACGAAAAGACTCAGTTCCTTCCTACCCTTAAGGACATGCAAGTTCCTTGTCTCTCCACTCCCCACCAAATAAGCTTTTCAGTTATTTTATTGGTTTGCCTGTGCTAGCTACCCTTGGAAAAGAAAGGGAGAGAAAAAGAAAGAAATGAGATCAGATGCAGTCAGAGAAAAATAAATTTTCCTTGGGCTCTGGTCCTGGACTGTCCGACAGTGCAAGGTGCGTCAGTAAGGGGACGAGACTGAACCTTACTTGTTTAGCTATTACCACATAAATTAGAGGAAAATCAGAGGAGAGAGAGGGGGAACGTGGCAGGAAGGCAAGGTGACAACTGTAAGGGCTTTCTGCTGCCCCCTCCCCACACCCCACACCCCTGGTTTGGTAGCTTTGATCTGGGGAATAAGTGTCCGTATGTCATGCCCTTAATGTTGTAAGTTCCCGTCTGTTACCCTGAACCCTAAGGCTCTTGTCCTTGTCCTGAGAAGCTGCTACTCCAGGGTGTTTTGCTAACTCTTGTGGAGTGGGACAGGAGTACCACGTTGAGCTGTAATTTAGACACATTATTATTGTTTACTCCCCACTGGAGCCACTATCCCCTATTTCAGAGATGAGGAAGCAAAGACTGAGAAGTTAAATTTTCCCAAGATCATGTAACTGATAGATATCTGAACCAGGTCTGAATAACCCCAAAGCCTGCTTAATCTGTGTGTGCTCCTGTCGTCTCAGGACTTGAGGGGCAGGGTCTGTATCCACAGATGATTTCCAGGGGAGGAGAGACTGATGTCCAGGTTTAACTGAGCTGGTTCAAATGGAGAGCAAGTCTCTAGCTATGAATTGCAGTGAAGCAACGCTGCTACACTGTGGACTTAAATAGGCAACACCGATTCTTCATAAGAGCCCTCGAGCTGTTCTGTCCCCCAGGTTCTAGAGGACTGCTCGTTTTAGAACTCCAATTAATTAACTAAAGGAGGGCTGGGCGACAGTTACCGCTACAGTGTGTTCCAACTGTAACTTCTAGCAGCTCTGGAAACTGGAAATAGGACACTAACGAATGGGCCACTTTACTCAGTCTTCAACCGCCTCAACTCCCTTTTCACTCTTCTCCCTGCTTCTCCGGAGCAGCCTGGTTATTGATGAACTTTGGGTAAGAAACCAGACTCAGACATTCTGGGTTGAAATCTCAGTCCAATCTCCTGCCAGCTGTATGACCTTGATAAATGCTTGATCTCTCTGAATTCAGTTTTCTTATAGTGGGGGAAAATACTATCAATTTCTAGCTTATATCCTCAGATTAAGGAAAAAGAACCAGCATAGTACCTGAAGCAAAATAGGTAGTAAACTGTGCTGCTTTGTTCCCAAGAATGTGAACTGGCAGAATTGGAAGTTAGATTGAGCTCCTCTGGGTTCAAGTCCTGTGTTTTTTAACCATAAATGTGGACAAAAGGAAAAATAATGACTCTTTGATTGAGTGCCTGCTATGCAACAGATGGCTTCATTTCCCCCCCTTATTTTACTAATTCTTACAACAGGCTTGTGAAGCATATCTGCCTTGCAGATGAGGAAACGGGAGGCATGGCGAGATGAATTGCCCAATGGCAGATTTAGGATTCAACACTTTTGTTCATCTGAACCATGGCCCGTGCCCTTTCTGCTGTCTGTCTTGTCCTCCAGCAGAGGGCACCGTGGAATACTGAAAATGTGTGGCTCTGAGACATTTAGGGTGCTGCCTTTCCCACCTGGCCTGGGGAAGAAAGGGTCCTTGTCCAGGTAGTCCTCTCTTCAGTGGCAACTTCCTGCCTTATAGTTTCCCAGAAGCCTCCTTCTTTCCTAGCAGCAGAGCTCTTTCACACTGAAAATTATGAAATGGACTCTGTTGCAAGTCAGTTTTATGTGAGTTTGAGTAGTGACAGCCTGTTTTTCCTGGACCCAGATCTGCTGGGTAACATACACATCAACTCGGGCCAGAAAAGCAAAGGACACTTGGAGGCCAATGACCTTCATAAGGAGGCAAACCCTGTGCCGAGCTTAACGTTTGCAATGAGACCATCTCTGGCTTAGTGCAGATTCACCCATCCCTATGAGCTCCCCCTGAAGGACTAAATATTTTCTTTCATACCTGAAAGGATGAATCTGAAGACTGATACAACTTTATGTGAATATGAGTTTTTAAATGTAGATTACACATAAACTTTTTAAAATATATTTTATTGATTATGCAATTACAGTTGTCCCAAGTTTTCCCCCTTTGCCCACCTCTGCCCCATACCCCCATTCCCTCCAGCAATTCCCCACCTCAGTTCATGTCTATGGGTCATGCATATAAGTTCTTTGGTTACTCCACTTCCTATACTGTTCTTAACACCCTCCTGTCTATTTTGTATCTACCAATTTGTGCTTATTCCCTGAACTTTTCCCCCATTCACCTCTTTCCCCCTCCCAGCTGACAACCCTACAAATCATTTCCATATCTGTGATTCTGATCCTGTTCTGCTTGTTTGCTTAGCTTGTTTTTTAGATTCAATTGTTGATAGTTGTGAATTTCTTGCCATTTTAATTGTTCATAGTTTTGATCTTCTTTATCTTATATGAGTCCCTTTAATATTTCATATAGTAATGGCTCAGTGATGATGAACTCCTTCAGATTTACCTTGTCTGGGAAGCACTTTATCTGCCCTTCCATTCTAAATGATAGCTTTGCTGGATAGAGTAATCTAAGTTTTAGATCCTTGCTCTCATCACTTTGAATACTTCTTGCCAGCCCCTTTTAGCTTGAAAAGTTTCTTTTCAGCTGACAGTCTTATAGGAACTCCTTTGTAGGCAACTCTCTGCTTTTATTTTGCTGCTTTTAAGAATCTCTATTTTTAATCTTTGGCATTTTAATTATGATGTGTCTTGATTGGATCCTCTTTGGGTCCAACTTGTTTGGAACTCTCTGTGCTTCCTGGACTTGCCTGTCTATTTACTTCCAAATTAGGGAAGTTTTTCTTTCATTATTTTTTAATAGATTTTCAATTTCTTTCTCTTCCTCTTCTCCTTAGGCACCCCTATGATTCAGATGTTGGTATGTTTGGAGATGTCTCAGAGCATCCTTAGCCTATCCTAATTTTTTTTTTAATTCTTTTTTCTTCTTGCTGTTCTGGTTGGTTGTTTTTTTTTTCTTCCTCATATTCTGAAACATTGATTTGATTCTTGGCTTCATCTCCTCCACTGTTGGTTCCCTGTAGATTTTTCTTTATTTCACTTAATGTAAACTTCATTTCTGCCTGGGTCTTTTTCATGTTGTTGAAGTACCCATTGAATTCCTTAAGAATCCAGGGTGTTTTGAAGTCTGCATCTGATAGGTTGCTTACTCCATTTTGTTCTGTTTTTTTTTTTTTCCCTGGAGTTTTGTTCTGTTCTTTCATTTGGACCATATCTCTTTTTCTCCTTAATTTGGCAGCCTCCCTGTTTGTTTCTTTGTATTAGGTAGAGCTGCTTTGACTCTCTGTCTTACTAGTATGACCTATTGTAGAAAAGCACACTTGTAAGTTGTATGGGGTGGAGACTTAGGTAATCACCAGGGTTGGGCAACCCGTGTCATGGCTCTGTGCTTCTGTGGCTGTGTGTGGGGGCGGGCTTGGAGAGGGGACAATGCCGCTGCCTGGCCTCTGGAGTTTTGCCCAGGAGGAAGCTGTGTCCCAGTTCTCACTCTGTTGCCAGTCACTTCAGTTTCTCCCTCTATGCCACTGGTACCCTTCCAGCTCTTGCCCAGAGGAAGTGTGTCTAAGTCCTAAGCCCATTGTGGGCCCTTTAAGAAGAGTCTCCTGAGAATCCTGCAGTTTATTCCACCACCCCAACCCCCATTGGTTTTTATAGCCAGAAGTTATGGGGACTTTCTTGGTGCTGAAACCCTGGGCTGGGTGGTCTGTTCTGGGGCTAGGATCCCTTGCTCCTGAGGTATCCCTCTTGATTTTTATCCACCACACATGCATGTGGGACCACCCTTCTGCATCTCTGTGCCTCTCCATGTGTCTCCCATCTCCATCCCTCCTACCTATCCAGATGAATGTGGCTTCTTTAAATCCTTGGTT